CGACAGGGTCCTTGGACCCCGGCCTGGACCGGAGCTGTGCAGAACGAAAGCCAGCTCCAGGAGGACACGAGCAGGGTGGCAGTTGGCAGTGCAGAAACGCAGGTAAAGTCAAGGTTTGAAGCTATAGTTTCAAGTCGGTTCAGAAAGTAACGTTTGGCAGTCTGGGCTACGGGCCGCGGGCCCAATCCGTCCTTCACTGCCATGGTGAGCCCTGCGACAGGGTCCTTGGACCCCGGCCTGGACCGGAGTTGTGCAGAACGAAAGCCAGCTCCAGGAGGACACGAGCAGGGTGAAAGTTGGCAGTGCAGAAACGTAGGCAAAGTCAAGGTTTGGAGCTATAGTTTCTAGTTGGTTCAGAAATTGACGTCTTGGAAGCTGGGCAGAACGATAGCCAGCTCCAGGAGGACATGAGCAAGTTGGCAGTTGGCATGCAGTGCAGAAAGGCAGGTTGACGTTTGGCACTGTCTAGACGGCTGGCTGGACAAGACGAAAGCGAGCGGCACAAGGACGCAAGCAAGTTGGAAACTAGCAGTGTTATTAGTCCAGCGTTGCCGTCACGTTCCAGCTTTCCCGGCGGCATGTGCGTCCGGCAGAGTTTCTGTGCCGAAACGCAGGTAAAGTCAAGGTTTGGAGCTAGTTTCTAGTCAGTTCAGAAAGTAACCCCCTCGCAGACAAAATTATTCGATCTAAGACCCAAATCTCACCTCCAAACCCATCAGTTTCAATCCCTTGGAACATGTCAGGAATCCGAAACTCAATTGGCTCACTATATGTCTTTTTCTTCTGGCTATCCTCCGCGTGCACTGATTTTTGTGCGAACACCAGAGTGCCATGACACACCATAACAATCTAACCGAGAAACTTGAACAATCCAGTAGATATCCCATGCTTTCAGATTTCAAAAACTCCCATCCCAGGACATGGCCCAATTCTTCCCATCTGGTACACTTCTCTTCACATAAGATATATACCACGCCACAGTTCAGCGTTTACATCGACGCCAAGGGTCGCCAATCTGGGGCGTGCTCGCAGCGCCGAGACAAGGGTCCCGCTAATGAAAAGCGCCGCACCTCGATTTTCATCGTTTTACGGTACGTGAAAAGTATCAAGAAGCAATCATTGTGGGATTCCTGAGTACACTTCCTTCATTACTGAAGGGGTGTCCCCCCAAAAAAATCTGATCTATAGATTCCTCTTGCACTGGGTACCTCCCATTACCAAACTCAAATTTCTTAAATCTTGGCCTCACATTGTCTACAATGCACATCAATGACAACTGCTAACTCCTAGAGCGTCCACATCATAAAGGACCCCTACGATATGGAATCCAAACCACATCGCAGTTCGTTATTATCATGTGGTTAATCAGGTGATCACATTGATGTATATCACATCCATTGTAACATTTCATTCCCTATAGGTAGGATATTCTTTTTCTCCCAATTGCGTTGCTCCGAATCAGCCCCTGTGGCGCCTGCGCCCAGAGCGGAAACTCCGATGGTAGGAGCCATGCGGAGGTACAATACAAGCCCAGGGGCCGGCCCCGCGCCCGTGTCCTCGCCGGAGGCCTTCGGTGGTAACCGAAGGTTATATACGCTGGCCGCCCCTGCCGCCGACCGGTCCTGCCCGATTCCGGTTCACACCCGACCCACGATTATACCTGTAATTTACAGTGTATTTTGCGTGTGGTGTTCAAGAAACATCGTTTTTTACAGGGTTTCGTGGCCTTCGCCGTCTCCAGGTTTCACCTCGGCGACGTAAAAAAACTATGGGTTTTTCATAGTTTTGGGTCTTAGGACGGGGTCCGGAACGGAAAACTGGACATCTTGACGGCCTTGGTGCCAACATAGGGCCAACATCGGCCAAGATATGGGCTACATGGGTCAACATAAGGCTAAGATAGGGGCAAGCCTGCGCCAACATAGGGCCAACATAGGCCCAAGATGGCCCCAAGATGGCCCAACATGGCTCCAAGATGGCCCAAGACGGCCCAACATAGGCCCAAGATGGCCCAACATAGGCCCAAGATGGCCCAACATGGGCCCAACATGGCCCCAAGATGGCCCAACATAGGCCCAACATGGCCCCAAGATCGCCCAACATGACCCCAAGATGGCTCAACATAGCTCCAAGATGGTCCAACTTAGCTCCAACTTGATGCAAAAGACAACAACATCAACCACATCAACCACATCGACAACATCAACGACGTCAACAACATCAACAACAACATCAACAACAACATCACCAACAACATCATCATCATCGACGACGACAACAACAATCCGGCCAGGGGCCCCCTGGCCGTGTCCTTGCCGAAGGCGTTTCTCTCCTCTCCGTAGGAGAGAGGGGCCGCGCCCCCTGCCGCCGACCTCTCCCCCCCGCCAAAAAGTCCCGCGTTTTACGGTGTTTTGTGCTCTTCCCATTTTTTCCCATTTTTCGGATCTTGTGGTTTAAGATGGGTCAACATGGGCCAACATAGGCCTCAAGATGGGCCAACATAGGCCTCAAAATGGGCCAACATAGCCCCAAGATGGGCCAACATAGCCCCAAGATGGGCCAACATAGCTCTAAGATGGGCCAACATAGCCCCAAGATGGGCCAACATAGCCCGCAGATGGGCCTACATTGCCCTCAAGATAGGCCAACATAGCCCCAAGATGGGCCCACATAGTCCCAAGATAGGCCGCCGACCATCAAAATATCCTGCGTCTTACAGTGTTTTTTTTGCTGTTCCCATTTTTCGGATCTTTTGGCTCAACATGAATCAACATGAGGCCAACATAGGCCAACATGGCCACAAGATGGGCCCACATTGCCCGCAAGATAGGCCAACATACGCCAACATAGGCCAACATAGCCACACAATGGGCCTACATAGTTGGGCCCCTGGCCGGCTGTCGCGCGTAAGCGCTTAAATCCGGGCGCCGGCCCCGCGCCCGTGTCCTCGCCGGAGGCCTTCGGTGGTAACCGAAGGTTATATACACTGGCCGCCCCTGCCGCCGACCCACCTCCTACTTACCCCGTGTCGATTCGTGTTCACCCCCGGTCCACGATTATCGTTGTAATTTACAGTGTATTCTGCGTGTGGTGTTCAAAAAACATCGTTTTTTACAGGGTTTCGTGGCCTTCGCCGTCTCCAGGTTTCATCTTGGCGACGTTAAAAATCCATGGGTTTTTCCTGGTTTTGGGTCTTCGGACGGGGTCCGGAACGGAAAACTGGACATCTTGCCGGCCTTGGTGCCAACATAGGGCCAACATCGGCCAAGATGTGGGCTACATGGGTCAACATAAGGCTCAGCTAGGGGCAAGCCTGCGCCAACATAGGGCCAACATAGACCCAAGATGGCCCCAAGATGGCCCAACATAGGCCCAACATGGCTCCAAGATGGCCCAAGACGGCCCAAGACGGCCCAACATAGGCCCAAGATGGCCCCAAGATGGCCCAACATGGGCCCAACATGGCCCCAAGATGGCCCAACATAGGCCCAACATGGCCCCAAGATCGCCCAACATAACCCCAAGATGGCTCAACATAGCTCCAAGATGGCCCAACTTAGCTCCAACTTGATGCAAAAGACAACAACATCAACCACATCAACCACATCGACAACATCAACGACGTCAACAACATCAACAACAACATCAACAACAACAACATCACCAACAACATCATCATCGACGACGACGACAACAACAACAACAACAACAACAACAACAACAACAACAACAACAACCACAACAACAACAACAACAACAACAACAACAACAACAACGACAACAACAACAACAACAATAACAACAGCCACAGCAACCACAACAACCACAACAACAGCAACAACAACAACAACAACGACAACAACAACAACCACCACCACCACCACAACAACAACAACAACGCCCGCTCGGGCTGACGGGTCTGCTTTTGCCGGCGCCCGGCTGTCAGGCGTAAGCCTCATAAATATATTCATTGTTTTCATGAAATTCCTATGCAGATTGCAATGCGTTATGCCGTTTTTTATCTTTCTTAAACCTGACACAAAGCGTTGTAAACCGCATGGCACACCATCAACTTGACCTCTAGAAGACCAGGAGTTCTACATGTCATTCTCATTGGCGGACTCTCATTCCTACCCTCGGAAAAATATACTCACAAAACGCTTTTCCCAGTGGCACACCAGGAACATTCCAGCACTGAACAACACAGCACAATGGCACTGAGATATTCAAGGTACCGCTTGACAGCGTGATTTTTACGAGATCCGTACGAGGTCTTTACGGGATCTGTACGAGATCGGGATTTTGCAAGGCAAGGCAGCAGGGCAAGGCAGCAGGGATCTTTTCTACTCTTCCCTTCTCTCTACGCCTCTCTATAATCACTTCTACTCTTCAATATCTTCAATTCTTCTCGACTCTACTCTTCTACTGCTCTCTTCTGTGTGAGTCAAGCTATTGAAGCCATCCCCATGAGTTTCTATCTCAAAAAGAATATGTCTCAAAAACATGTGTGCCCCTGCAAAGTGTTAGAAAAATCAATGCCACAAACAATTGATTCATCCAGTAAAAATAACATGTATATCATAGACTTCCCAACGGCACACCGTTTGCGGCACAAGAAAACAACCGCGGCACAAGTTACCACCCTGACCCAGTAAAAATGGATTATTAATTTAAATCAGGTCAAATTAGCCTAAAATAATAGGTAATTACGGCTTTCCAAGCACTTAATTAATCTTAACAATAATTAGTAATTAATTCACATGCGCAATAAAGCTGACAATTTGCCATTTATAAATCAAAATTACACCCCGGCTATCCTCAAAAATAGTTCGAATCAGATTGGATCCCATGAGAACAAATATGCCGAGGGAAAAAAATCAATAGGCCTAAGGACTATAACTTAACCCAAAGCGGCTTAAGTATATAGAAAAAGGAAATGGGAACTACCATTCTCGCAACCTCCGCTTTGCTCGTTCATTTAACAACATTTATTATGTTTTGATTTCTATATAAATGCATATTTGATTAATTTTGCTTAAATAATACGACATGTCAACCGTTGCCCCTTAAAGGCCGATCTTCTAATTGTCGCCATCGTCCGCAATTGTCATTGGGAGGACGGAACAACTGGCGAGCCAAGCCACAGAGCAATACACAGTTGAATGATGTTGAATGCAAAGCTGTTCCTGTTTGGTTTGCGCTTAGCCACAAAACTCTATCATTTTCCTAGTGTCTATTGAAGTTTATTGAGTTTACTCCCTGTTGTTTCCATTTATTCAGTATTTGTCAGTTGCATGTCGATAAATTTGACTGAGAGACCCCGTACTCCGAGAAGTTGGTCCATGCCCCGCCACCGCAACGGACCCAATCCTTTGCCGCTTCCAATGGCAGAAACTGAAACCCACGCAGATGCAAAATATGACAACAAAAAACAACGAATGCATGTTTCTAACGGAGAAGAACCCACGCACAGCACAGTGATTTCAAAATGTTAAAACAAACAAAATAAATCAAAATAAAATGTCAGTCCTTCAACTCGCGATTCTGTAAGGGCTCTTTGAAGCGTCTGATCATGCTTGCACTGGCCTTGATTCAAAATGCACCAGCTGCCGAGGTCACTTGCAATGCATCTGCCTCTCCCTGGATGTTGCTCCCTGAAAATGGAGCGAAGCTATTTAGTAGAGTTCTGCAATCAACATGCAAACAAAGAGCAAACCAAATGGTTTGCAGGCAATGCATCTCTCACAGTCTATGTCAGCTTCTTTGTAATTGGATGGATGTGCATCTGACAAGTTCACTCAACCACAAACTAATGGTTTGGCAGCCACCTTTTTGTCTACGTTCATGCTGAACCGTTTCTCTAGTGCAGGATGCAACCATTGCGTTGATTGGTATACAGTAAACAAGTGCCAAGGATGAGACATTTTGCATCCGCTCCATTGACCTTAACACGTCCTGGCAGTTCAATCTTGTGGATGACATGCGAAACACAAACATCCATATATTCGCGTGTAAAGCTGCAAACACTCGCATGGACCCATGCACATCTTTAGTAAAAAGGATTTAAACATATTTTAAAATAGTTTTTAAAAAATAATATATATATATATATATTAAAAAGGTATTTCTCTACAACCCTGCCACAACAAAGTAAAAGTGGAAGGCAATGGCAATGGAAACATCTGAATGCCAGTCTGAAGCAAGACTTGCCTTTGGAAAGAGTTGCTCCTTAAAATGCAGCCACTTTCAAGTTATATGCCTTGGACCTGATGAACGATGTGATGCCTTGCCTTGCTTTGATAGTTCCGCAGGTCTCAACTGAGTCTCAACCCCGTTCCCGTCTCATCCCTGTCCTTTGGCAAGTCAACGGACGTCTTGGATCGCTGTATCCGGCCATGTCGGAGGAGTGTCAAAGTCTTGACCTGTGATGGGGCACAATTGTAGTTCAGTTCAATTACAAGAAGGGTTACAACAATTACGCACCAAATTGACACAAAACAAAGGAAAACGGCACATGTTCTAGACTCGACCATTTCTGCTTGTCCAACGTTTAGTGTTGACGCCCCGGTGCTTTCAAGAATTGATGTCTCAAGGACTTCAGTCCGTCCGAAACCCTTCCTGTCTACTCTGGGCAGCCTCATTTCGGATCCATAGGGCAGGCTCGGAGTACAAGCTGGGTTTGGAGGAGACGAGGCTGGGAACAGACTTCCAATACCTCAACAGCATGCACAGCAGAAGCAACAACCAGCTGATGCGGAGTCCAAAGTATTTGAAGACGACAATCAAATCTAATTGCAGCTCTTCACCGAGGTCAATTTACAGCTTGAACATAATCAATGTGTTTTCACTTCTGGCTTAGGTCTAGGCCTTCCCCCGGACAACCAAACTTTCTTGATCATTGCCAACTCTTTTAGCAAATCACTGGAACAATGCTCAACTGTGATCAGCTTTGCTGAACGGTGCTCGAGGGACCTATACACGGCTGGTTCGATGCACAAGTTCCGTACATTTCTTCGAGCTTGTTGAGCTTCTCTTTGGACCTTTGACGCCGGCTTGTATCAAAACAGAAACAAGTGTGCGACTTCTCTTTACAGATAGCCGTCCGAAGATCGTTGCAGCATAGCCGGGCCAGCAGCTTATCAATGGCAGCGAAGAGCGGGGGTGGTACATCCTGGATACTGGCGTGGCAAGGCAAGTGTAAGCCAAACCATCCCTGGCAATATGCGGCATCCAGCATGCTGTCTTTCCGCCATGGGCTTGCCTCCTTCTCAAGTCTTAACCATTCATAACCATTGATGTTGTAAGGCACTGCAAAGAACCTGGGCAAAGCGGGTCAATGAATTTATTCAGAGGCTCTCGCAAAAATACCGAGGAGTGCAGATCAGCCCAGATACATAAGCCTCAATCTAGAAAGGACCCTCGATGTGTACTGTGAATGCAACATACCAATCTAGAAACGAATTCAGGAGTTCCACTTGATTCCACAATATGTTCAATGATCGGCTGACATTGAACTTGACAACTGGGAAGGCAGACCTGTGCCCTCCTTTGAGCAAGCCAAGTCCTGCGCTCAGCACAGAACGGGCAGCGATTAGAGCCATCTATGCTCTGAGCAAAAGTGATTAAACTCGTCCTCTTTGTCACAACATTTTAGACATGTCAGTTCTAAATCGCCCTCAAAGCACGAGCCATTTCCACTTTTAGATTTCAGCCATTGATTCCCTCTACTATCCTTTGTTTCAGGTCGGAGTCAGGAACATGCAGGTTTCAGGGAGACTAAGCCAAAAATAGGGACGTGCCTTGCCCAGAGATGTGAGGCACGCCCTTCACTGGAACCACGCCAGTAGTCACCTGCCATTGCCAAAAGCCAAAGGCTGCAGAGGCTACATGCGGAAGTTTGATGTCAAATATGCGCGGCTGCTTGAGGTGACTAGAGTTCCAAACATGGAAATGCAACACAATGCAACTGTCTTAATAGATATTAAATTACTGTATCATAAAGCATCATAAATCATACATTTTGATCTTATCTTGCTTGAAACACCTAGCATTGTGCCTGGTACAGTCCAGGATAGCTCATTTCTTTGCCGTCCTTTTGCCTCGTGCAGAAGCTTCAGTGGTAAGGTCCACTCTGGTCCACTCTGGCCTACGGTTTCTGAGCAGTTCGTCCATGTCATCCTGTCCACATTTCCCCTCCTGACTGGCGGCAAAGCAGGTAGAATCTCTGGATTCACCTCATGAGGCCTTCGAGGGAGGGCAAGTCCGAGAAGTTCATCGGACAGGGCTTCACAGCATCTGCCGGTTGCAATCTGCACTCAAATTCAAACCGTGGAGCCTCAGTCCGTCCGAGTTCCTCTTTTTGCCCACCTGTCTCGTCACAGATGCCCCGTTTTTGCACTGCCAAAAAACGATGGCCGTTGCCGCAAGCTATGCAAATAAGAATAGCTTGGACACAAATCTTGTAAACCGTCTCAAAGACTAAAACCACCAATCACGCATATGACACACAATGTTCTGCAACTTTATGCGCAACATTAGATCCGTATAATTCCGTAGAATTACAAGATATTGATATATTGCAACATATTGCAACTACGCAATACGCATCCGTGTTGATCATGTTGCCGGAGTCGCTTCATCCCTTGTGGCCTTGGCGAGCAATGCCTCACCTTTTGATACCTCTTGTGCCATGGCGCGGGAGGCACCTGTTGATCTAAGGAATCTGATTGCCACCAGGAATCCAAGGAATGCGAAGAATGTGAGGCCGTCCACTTGATGTGGAACTTTGAGGATTTTGAGGATGGGAAGTGACGAGAAAGGGAGTAGCCTGATGCAGCTCGAAGCACGCGGACTCTTTGTTTGCCTTTGGCAACCCGTGCTGAGTCCAAATGCCCGCAAAAGGATCGGTCAAAACTCGCGCTTCTTCACTCAAGTCAGTTTAAGATAGCTTAAGATCAAAAAGCATTGACGGCTGGCGACGATGAAACCAAAAAACAAAAGCTGATCCTTTTCCGAAGATCACATCAACTCTGCGAGTACTAGCTCTGTGATAAGTCAAGACGCAAAATAAGCGAGGATTTGTTGAAGGTCATTCAAAAATATAGCATGATATAGTGTTCAAACATGTTCCATCTCACAGCCTCATTGCATGGCTTGTCTGTCTTGCTCCGAAGTGTCTGAGCTTTTCAACTTTGTCACATCTGCCTGCTCAATTAAATGTATTGTAATTTAATGTCATCTCAGCGCATGTTTTCAAAAATGCTGATTGTCTTTGTGCCGATACTCTCAGACTCCAGCACCCCAGCACCAGCAAGCGATGGCAAACTCCCACTCAATGTGCAGTCGCACAATCGATTGACAGCTGTGCAAAGATTTGGTGATCAAGCCGCTCACTCTTGGCTGATTGCTCCCATGGCTGCACAAACCACTGAATAGCACTGATTCAATTTGGAGGCGGTGTTCATTGGTCGACAAAAATACCTTTCAAATTTCAAATAGCTTGGTTGGTCGACATGATTCTCCGATATAAACAATTCATTCGGATCTCAAGTGTGCATTCTTCACGACTCAAACCCAGTCGTATCTGTACACAAGAGTCTCAAGCTGTATCATGTCTATGCCATGCATGCCATGCTACCAACATTTTGAGGAGGCACCGTGCAGTTCTAAATGCTTGGTAGGCTGATCGATCACGTATAATTTCAAGTGACCAGCTGGACCTGTTTTTCAGTCTGGTTGTGTCTTTTTCATGTTTTTCCTGGCTGTTGTGTTTTAACGCCTTAGCAGCCAATATCCGTTATCCACGACCATGATCGCGCCTTGTCTACTCTTTGGACCCTCGGAGACTCGGAGCTACACAGGCAGAATGAGTGTGAGAATGAGTGCGAGAGTGAGTGTGTGTGTGTGTGACACATCTTTACGGATGTAAAACTTCTATTACCTTTAAATATACATATATATATATATCTATCTATATGCGGGGGATCACCGGGATCCCGGGGGGGTCGGTGATCAACGAAGACACCTCCCCGGGACCCGTGCAAACGTACCCGCGGGACTGTGGTGACGCACCTGGGCGCATATAAGACGCAGCTGGTGGTCACCATAGTCCCATATATATATATATAAATATACGTTTTCATCCTTATATATGTAACTAATCTAGTTGCATGTTTCAGGATTCAGTTCCTGCCGGATCACTTCAATGATCCATTCTTATCTAGTGTGATTCCTATGGTGACTCCGACATGGTGCCATAGGGCCAAGTGAGGCAATCCTGTTTGGGGTGAATGTCGACTGACTTGAATTCCGAATTCACACATTTTAATCTCAATAATTCGTTTAAGTGCAGTGCAACAGTTGGCCTTACGGTTTTCCGGCCGTTTTGAGATTTCCTGCAGCTCCGGATGTCCCAGGGATCCCAGTGACCTGCACTCTTTCAAGTGAAGCCGCTCCGAACAGTCAGAAACTTCTTTTTTGCCACTGCAGCTTGAGTTTTCGAAGTTCAACATGACATGAGCGACTACAGGCAACAGGCATGTCCTTTTCCTGCAGGTGTGGTCTCTTTGGTATCTGGTGAGGTGAAACATGTTGTGCACCTACAGTAATTCGCTGGAACTTGAAAGCCGTCTTATGCCAATTGGGGCAAGAACTGACCACGGTCCCAGACAGGGAATAACGCACGACTCTTAGGAAGTTAGGAACTGAGTCCTGTTTTCCTTTTTTTGTGGTTTCACCAACTAGTCCCCATTGGTCCCCTATCTCATGCGTTCTTCCCTCTCCAGGTAGGTTGGTTCCGTCGCGTGCTGAGGTGTGTGTAGGTTTTCGCTGTGTCAGGTTGGTTCAGGCGCTTCCGTCCTCCCCCCCCTCCGCTGGTCTTGTTCCGTGTCCGTCGACCCTCCGCTTTTCTTTTCCCTTGCCCTTTCAGGGTTTGCCCGCTCCGGGCCAGGTGTGTCGTGTTGGTGTTCCCTCCTTCTTCTTTTGCGTTCCCCTCTTCGCGTCCTGGTTAAGTAATTCTTCATCATCTTCATGGTCATCTCACCTTCATTCCCCTCTCATCCTCATCTTCACCTCATCTTCCGTGGCACCACAAGGCAGGGTGTGTGTGTGTGACACATCTTTACGGATGTAAAACTTCTATTACCTTTATTATATATATATATCTATATCTATATGCGGGGGATCATTGGGGTCCCGGGGGGGTCGGTGATCAACGAAGACACCTCCCCGGGACCCGTGCAAACGTACCCGCGGGACTGTGGTGACGCACCTGGGCGCATATAAGACGCAGCTGGTGGTCACCATAGTCCCATATATATATATATATACGTTTTCATCCTTATATATGTAACTAATCTAGTTGCATGTTTCAGGATTCGGTTCCTGCCGGATCACTTCAATGATCCATTCTTATCTAGTGTGTGTGTGAGTGAGTGAGTGAGTGAGTGAGTGAGTGAGTGAATGAGTGAGTGAGTGAGTGAGTGAGTGAGTGAGGGAAGCGAGGGAAGCGAGGGAAGCGAGGGAAGCGAGGGAAGCGAGGGAAGCGAGGGAAGCGAGGGAAGCGAGTGAGTGAGTGAGTGAGTGAGTGAGTGCGTGCGTGCGTGCGTGCGTGCGTGCGTGCGTAAGTGCGTGCGTGCGTGCGAGTGCGAGTGCGAGTGTGAGTGTGAGTGTGAGTGTGAGTGTGAGTGTGAGTGTGAGGGAGGACAGGCGGGAGGAGGAGGAGGAGGAAGGAGTGGATACAGCACTAAAAACAAAAACCCCACTCGTCAATGTGGGGAAAAAACAATGATTAATGATGAATTGTATGTGTGTTAGTGTGTTTTGATGCGTCTTGATCCTAGTGACTTGGTTTCGCATTTGTGAGGTTCATCAGCTCTGTTTCCTTAGAAAACACTACTTCCTGGCCTTTCGGACTCCGCCCCTCCCAAACAAAAGGCCACGTCTACCGCTGCCTGATGTCCGTCCAGCATTATCAGATGTTGCAATGCCGCTTTCCGAAATTGCTTCACTGTGAATTTTTGCCCCTCTAGCACAGAAGGAAACGAAGGAAACGAAGAGCACAGAGATGACTCTCTGCATTTGCTTCAAGCGGCAGCATGATACAAGCTTTCGTTATTTCTGTTTCTTCACTTCGCTAAGCTTTCCGGCAACTTTCACAACTTTCTGGCGGCAACTTTCTGCATCACTTGAAACATCAAGAAGCACGAAGAAATCATGTCTTGCAAGTTCTGAGGCAAGTTGCTTCATTGCAGTGTTTGAAGAATAGACGATCTTGCACGCAAGACGCGGTGATTGAAAGGCTCCGGCTGCGGATGTGACATAACGTGGAAATATCTCCCTGATGCCACATGCGCTAGATCTTGCAGTACCATCCGCTCATGCTGCACAACCGGAAAGCAACAGTTTGTTTCCGTACCTTTCGTAGCAATTGCCGGTCAAACCTCGCGCTTCTTCACTCAAGTCAGTTTAAGATAGCTTAAGACCAAAAAGCATTGCCGGCTGGCGACGATGAAACCAAAAAACAAAAGCTGATCCTTTTCCGAAGATCACATCAACTCTGCGAGTACTAGCTCTGTGATATGTCAGGACGCAAAATAAGCGAGGATTTGTTGAAGGTCATTCAAAAATATAGCATGATATAGTGTTCAAACATGTTCCATCTCACAGCCTCATTGCATGGCTTGTCTGTCTTGCTCCGAAGTGTCTGAGCTTTTCAACTTTGTCACATCTGCCTGCTCAATTAAATGTATTTAATTTAATGTCATCTCAGCGCATGTTTTCAAAAATGCTGATTGTCTTTGTGCCGATACTCTCAGACTCCAGCACCTCAGCACCAGCAAGCGATGGCAAACTCCCACTCAATGTGCAGTCGCACAATCGATTGACAGCTGTGCAAAGATTTGGCGATCAAGCCGCTCACTCTTGGCTGATTGCTCCCATGGCTGCACAAACCACTGAATAGCACTGATTCAATTTGGAGGCGGTGATCATTGGTCGACAAAAATACCTTTCAAATTTCAAATAGCTTGGTTGGTCGACATGATTCTCCGATATAAATAATTCATTCGGATCTCAAGTGTGCATTCTTCACGACTCAAACCCAGTCGTATCTGTACACAAGAGTCTCAAGCTGTATCATGTCTATGCCATGCATGCCATGCTACCAACATTTTGAGGAGGCACCGTGCAGTTCTAAATGCTTGGTAGGCTGATCGATCACGTATATATAATTTCAAGTGACCAGCTGGACCTGTTTTTCAGTCTGGTTGTGTCTTTTCATGCTTTTCCTGGCCGTTGTGTTTTAACGCCTTAGCAGCCAATATCCGTTATCCACGACCATGATCGCGCCTTGTCTACTCTTTGGACACTCAGAGCTACACAGGCAGATATGATTCGAATATTTGTTCGTTCGAGACATAGTTTTTACTTAAATTTGGCATAGCGATGAAATGACCATGTCTTCTTTGGCAACTTTAAGTAATGTTGGATGGACAATAGTAAAGCGCGTGCAATAGCTACAAATAATTTTCAGAATCTGATTTTTCAGCCCCTATTGATTTTAAATTAGGCCTTATTGATTTTAAATTACGAACATCAACCTTGGTCCAGAGCATCTGCAATAAATGTGGTTCATTCGCAATAGCTACAAATAATTTTCAGAAAATTCCCAAATTATCAGATTTTCCAATACTAAATTGTAAAGGAACTAATTGAGATTTAGTATGGATGCAGGAAAAAAAATCAGAACCAGTTACAGTTCAGCTGTATTTTTTCCCTTCTTCCTTAGTGGTTTTAATTGTGGTTGAATGGTTTTAAATTGTGATTGCATGTTTTTCAAAAGCAAAAACAAAGCAAACCTTTACCAAATCAAAAACTTTACCTTGTTCAAAAAAGCTGTTTTCTTTATTAAAATCCTTTTAAAAAATTGCAAAAAACAGGTCCACAAAGGGTACCCCCTTGCAGGTCCTTGCATTTGCAATTAAAAACTGGAATTAGCACTTGCAATAAGAAACAACCTTCCTGGCTCTAGCAGGCATTGTTTCCCTTCTTCCTTAGTTTTTTAAATTGTGGTTGAATGGTTTTAAATTGTGATTGCATGTTTTTCAAAAGCAAAAACAAAGCAAACCTTTACCAAATCAAAAACTTTACCTTGTTCAAAAAAGTTGTTTTCTTTATTAAAATCCTTTTAAAAAATTGCAAAAAACAGGTCCACAAAGGGTACCCCCTTGCAGGTCCTTGCATTTGCAATTAAAAACTGGAATTAGCACTTGCAATAAGAAACAACCTTCCTGGCTCTAGCAGGCATTGTTTCCCTTCTTCCTTAGTTTTTTAAATTGTGGTTGAATGGTTTTAAATTGTGATTGCATGTTTTTCACAAGCAAAAACAAAGCAAACCTTTACCAAATCAAAAACTTTACCTTGTTCAAAAAAGTTGTTTTCTTTATTAAAATCCTTTTAAAAAATTGCAAAAAACAGGTCCACAAAGGGTACCCCCTTGCAGGTCCTTGCATTTGCAATTAAAAACTGGAATTAGCACTTGCAATAAGAAACAACCTTCCTGGCTCTAGCAGGCAGTTTTTTCCCTTCTTCCTATCAGAATCCAATGAAGATCCCATCAGAGCCCATCAGAAAAGAGAGGATTTGTCAAAACCTTACAGAAACCTTTGGGGAAGAGTTGGGATTTTCGATTTACTATTGCGAAGCAGACCCCCCCCCTAAAAAAAAAAAATTAGGGGGGGGACCCCCCTTTACTATTGTCGATGTAACATTACAACGGGTGCAGGTTGCTCACACCTTCACAACCACATGGTGCATTGAGCCAATGAGCTGCTGTGTCCTCCATCAGTTTGCAAACATCCTTTCTCATCAGTCAGATGCATAGACAAAGCACACAATATTGAAATTCCACGGTCACTGCCCACGGTCACTGCGTGAAACTCCAATCCATGAAATGGATTAGCTCAAGAGTTAAGGTCATGCAAGCAAGCGATAACCAATACTAAGTGAGTTCCTAAAGAACTATCACGAAATGAATTGAGTATGAGTACAGTAAACTACTGCAGAGTGTACTCCACTTCATGGTTTCCTTCGACATCTGAGGCCCGGCAAAATGTGTTTACAAATCTCTCGGAACATGCAAGGCATCGCAAGGTATGACAAGGAATGGCATGGCATTGACTGACAAGTCCTCTTTTGAGTGCATTGTTTTTCTGCTCGGAATGCCTTTGGACGGACGGTCCTGCAACACAGTCTTTCCTCGCTAGCTCGCCGCCTACCGGCAGTTGTTATTTCCGCTGGCCAAATCAAATTTGCAGCAAAGAAGCGTGAAAGTTCCGCCTATGGCGTGGAAGCATTGGATGCCATGCCACCATCCACCCATTGGGCACATTGGATGACTTGGAAGCGGCATAACACCTCTCAGGTGTCATCCACGTGGAAAAGTTGGACGACTAATCATTCATGACGATCAATGAAGATCAAGAACGATCAATGTGGGCCATGTTATCAGTCGCTAGCAAGATCTAGCAATGACTAGCAATAGCGATCAACAACCATCAACGACTCAACGACTCACAATGACAAGCAATGACTAGCAAGGACTGGCTGACTAGTCAAAGGAAGTTGGGGAAGCAATCTTCCGAGTTACGAATGACTTTTACCTGATGAAGGGTGGTGTGAGACTTTACATCACCAAACAATACATGCAATGAAGGGTGGTGTGAGACTTTACATCACCAAACAATACATGCAATGAAGGGTGGTGTGAGACTTTACATCACCAAACAATACATGCAATGAAGGGCGGTGTGAGACTTTACATCACCAAACGATACCTGCAATGAAGGGTGGTGTGAGACTTTATATCACCAAACAATACATGCAATGAAGGGTGGTGTGAGACTTTACATCACCAAACGATACATGCAATGAAGGGTGGTGTGAGACTTTACATCACCAAACAATACATGCAATGAAGGGCAATGGTGTGAGACTGAGACTTTACATCACCAAACAATACATGCAATGAAGGGCAATGAAGGGTGGTGTGGACTTTACATCACCAAACAATACATGTGAAGAGACTTTACATCACCAAACAATACATGCAATGAAGGGCAATGAAGGGTGGTGTGAGACTTTACATCACCAAACAATACATGCAATGAAGGGCGGTGTGAGACAATGCAATGAAGGGTGGTGTGAGACTTTACATCACCAAACAATACATGCAATGAAGGGTGGTGTGAGACTTTACATCACCAAACAATACATGCAATGAAGGGCGGTGTGAGACTCTACATCACCAAACAATACATGCAATGAAGGGTGGTGTGAGACTCTACATCACCAAACAATACATGCATGAAGGGTGGTGTGAGACTTTACATCAGATGACGAAGAGAAGAGGTGACGAAGGGAAGCGGTGTCTTTGCAGATCGCATTGGAATGGCTGCATGATTGTTGTCACCATGTGGAGAGATGCAGGTTTGCTACCCGATGCTACGAAACGCATTGTAATGGCTGCATGAATGTTGCATGGCCTTTGTTTTTGGGAGGAAGCCGGAGCACGAAACCTTGTGTTTTTCCGTGTAAAGTGGCTGCAGCCGGCGATGAAAGGTACCTCGTGTGTGTGGCGGGTGCGGCTGCGGTCGCTTCGTCCGCGAATTGGTTCCTCCTCTGTGTTCTGCAACGAGTGGTTATTCCTGTGTGCGTAGTTCTATGCGTTTCTTGAATCTGTGGTTGCCGATCGCATTGGAATGGCTACATGATTGTTGGCATCTGGCGTTGTCATGCGCGTAGAGAGATGCAGGTTTGCCACGTGATGCTGCGAAACGTATTGTAATGGCTGCATGAATGTTGGGTGTTTTGGGGAGGAAGACGGAGCAAGAAACCTTGCGTTTTTCCGTGTAAAGTCGTTGCAGCCGGCGATGAAAGGTACCTCGTGTGTGCGGCAGGTGCGGCTGCGGTCGTTCCGAGCGAAATCGGTTCCTCCTCTGTGTTCTGCAACGAGCGGTTGTTCATTTGTGCGTAGTTCTATTCGCTTGTTGAATCTGTGGTTGCAGATCGCAGTGTGATGGCTGCGTCAAGGTTGCTGGGCGCCGCGGCTGCATGCGTAATACGTCTTTTGCGGCTGAGAGCCGTGAATCAAATTGGAGTAGCTGCATCAAGGCTGCGATAGTCATTTGTCAGCAGCTTGTCTCAATTTTGGCGCTGGTAAGTTTCCTTTTAAAATTCCTGTTAAAAAAGTGCTTCAAAATCGTCTTTTTTCAATTTCTGTTGTCATTCGCGTAGCTCTATTGTGTTTTGCAACTCAGTCTCAGCAGATGGCATTGTAATGGCTGCGTCAAGGTTGCGTGGCGCCGCGGCTGCGTGCGTAATACTAGTCGAAGGAAGTTTAGTAGTCAAACTTCCGACAATATGGACAGATGAAAAGCAGAACAGGGAAGAGGCAGAGAGAAGAGAAAGATTAGAAGAGAGAAGATCAGAGAAGAGAAAGATCAGAAGAGAGAAGATCAGAGAAGAGAAAGAGTCAGAAGAAAGAAGATGCAGATGCGAGAAAAGGTAGGAAAGTCGCGAAACACTGTGTTTTTCCAATGATTTGTGGCCCCGGAGGGTCGAAAAGTGGCTCGCTAAAGCGGCGGGTGCGGCGCCAGCTGGTCAGATGAGAGATGAAAAATTGCACGCCGTTGTGGCGCGAAACACATTTCGAAGTCAACATGTACAAAACACACCATGGTCGGATCACTTTTGGAAGTTGAGATGTCGAAAAAGTGCACGCCGTTGTGGCGCGAAGCACATTTCGAAGTCAAAATGTACACCATGCTCGGACCACTCTTGGAAGTTGAGATGTCGAAAAAGTGCACGCAGTTGTGGCGCGAAGCACATTTCGAAGTCAAAATGTACACCATGCTCGGACCACTTTTGGAACTTGAGATGTCGAAAAAGTGCACGCCGTTGTGGCGCGAAGCACATTTCGAAGTCAAAATGCACAAAACACCGCAGCGTCGGACCACTTTTGGAAGTTGAGGTGTTGAAAAAGTGCACGCCATTGTGGCAAGAAGCACATTTCGAAGTCAAAATGTTAAAAACACTAGGGGTTCGGACCACTTTTGGAGGTTCAGTATCGTTTCGCGTGGCAGTCGCAAGGGATTGTGCACCTTGTCAAAAGTGAGCAAGACATGAGGGTTTTGTGCAGTTTTCAACTACAACCACCACTACACGACACTACACTCCAATACACTACACTACACTACAACTACAACTACACCTTCACTACATTCCACTACACTACACTCCACTACACTGCACTCACTTACACTCAATTACACTACACTACACTACATTACATTACACTACACTACATTACACTACACTACACTACCTTCCACTACACTTCACCACATTACACTACACTACACTCCACTACACTACAACTACAACTACACAACTACACTCCACTACACTCCACTACACTCCACCATTCTAAATTACACTACACTTCACTACATTACACTATACACTACACTTCACTACATTACACTACACTACACTGCCTTCCACTACAATTCACTACATTACACTACACTACACTCCACTACAACTACAACTACAACTACAACTACAACTACACAACTACACTCCACTACACTCCACTACACTAAATTACACTACACTACACTACATTACACTACACTACATTCCACTACACTCTACTACACTACACTACATTACACTGAATGACACTGCACCACAGATAGACTGGTAGACAAATAGACAGATAGACAAATAAATAGATAGATAGACAGGTAGACAGCTAGACAGATAGACAGATGAAAGAGAGAGAGAGAGAGAGATAGATTGATACATAGGTTGATAGAAAGATAGATAGATAGGTAATTAGATGAAAGAGAGAGAGAGAGAGATAGATCGATAGATAGATACATGGATAGATAGATAGATAGACAGATAGATAGATAGGTAGGTAGGTAGGTAGATAGCCAGAGAAAGAGAGAGAAAGAATGAGAGAGATCAAGCACCTTTCGGTCCATCAGTGGCTTCGCTCTGCCATCCATGATTCACAACAACCAACTTCTCCTATAGGTCTCCTATTTTTGAAACTTCCGCCACCGCCTTGTGCGGTACTACAGGTATAAAAGGCGTTCTTTGTATAAAAGCTTTTCTGTGTAAAAGCTTGCTGTGTGTTAATGCGTTCTTTGTGTAGCGAAAGCTTGCTGTGTGTAAAAGCTTGCTCTCTGGAAAAGCTTGCTGTGTGTCAAAGCTAGATGTGTTTTGGGAAGTGTTGTGTGCAACCTTTCTAGTACAAAGTAGTACTGGGAAGTGCTTTGTGCGAGCTTTGTAGTACAAAGTAGTACATGGAAGTGCTTTGTGCAAGCTTCGCAGTACAAAGTAGTATATTCTGGGAAGTACTTCGTGCAAGCTTTGTAGAACTGGGACGTGCTTTGTGCAAGCTTTGTAGTACAAAGTAGTACTGGGGAGTACTTTGTGCAAGCTTTCTAGTACAAAGTAGTACTGGGAAGTGATTTGTGCAAGCTTTCTGGTACAAAGTAGTACTGGGAAGTGCTTTGTGCAAGCTTTGTAGTACAACCTAGTACTGGGAAGAGCTGTGCGCAAGCTTTGTAGTACAAAGTAGTACTCGCAAGTGCTTTGTGCAAGCTTTCTGGTACAAAGTAGTACTGGGAAGTGCTTTGTGCAAGCTTCGCAGTACAAAGTAATATATTCTGGGAAGTACTTCGTGCAAGCTTTGTAGTACTGGGACGTGCTTTGTGTAAGCTTTGTAGTACAAAGTAGTACTGGGGAGTGCTTTGCGCAAGCTTTGTAGTACAAAGTAGTACTGGGAAGTGCTTTGTGCAAGCTTTCCAGTACAAAGTAGTACTGGGAAGTGATTTGTGCAAGCTTTCTGGTACAAAGTAGTACTGGGAAGAGCTGTGTGCAAGCTTTGTAGTACAAAGTAGTAAAGTGAAGTACTTTGTGCAAGCTTTGTAGTACAAAGTAGTACTCGCAAGTGCTTTGCGCCAAGCTTTGTAGTACAAAGTAATACTGGGAAGAGCTGTGTGCAAGCTTTGTAGTACAAAGTAGTACTGGGAAGTGCTTTGTGCAAGCTTTCTAGTACAAAGTAGTACTTGGAAGAGCTGTGTGCAAGCTTCGCAGTACAAAGTAGTTTATTCTGGGAAGTATTTCGTGCAAGCTTTGTAGTACTGGGGCGTGCTTTGTGTAAGCTTTGTATTACAAAGTAGTACTGGGTAGTACTTTGTGCAAGCTCTGTAGTACAAAGTAGTACTTGGAAGTGCTTTGTGCAAGCTTTGTAGTACAAAGTAATACTGGGCAGTGCTTTGTGCAAGCTTTGTAGTACAAAGTAATACTGGGAAGTGCTTTGTGCCAGCTTTGTAGTAAAA